TCCCCTCCTTGTTCCCCTCCTCCCCTCCTTGTTCCCCTCCCCCTCTCCTTGTTCCCCTCCTCCCCTCCTTGTTCCCCTCCCCCTCTCTTTGTTCCCCTCCTCCCCTCCTTGTTCCCGTCTCTTCCCCATCCCTCCTTGTTCCCCTCTCTTCCCCATCCCTCCTTGTTCCTCCCATCGTCCTCCCCTCCCAGATACGATGTCGTTCCGTCCTCTGGAGGCATCCCGACGTCGGTGCTGGACGGGGTGACCAGCCTGGTGGAACATCCCATACAGATCGCCGCCCCGGGTGAGTCACCGGCACAGAGCGCCGTAAAACCCTTATCATGGGTGGTTGGCGGGTGCTCTGGTGTGGGTTGCTTCTTCTTTCCTATCAAACATCTATCGTCCTTATCGCCCCTTCTTCTTTTTTCATGTTTGAGACTCTCTTGTAACACCTCTAATCTTCTGGCGCTCATATGACCTTATGCAGTTGCGAGCGCCGAAAAACCTCTACTAAAACTAAACAAAAAACGCATATATCAAAACGAACATGTGTGCACAGGTGCGTGTGAGTGCGTTTGTGCGTGCGTGGTGAAACACCTAACCATTGTGTGAGGACCGGGGCTATAAAGTTTTATCAATCTTATCTTATCTTACCTTACCTTATCTTATCATATCTTAGCTTACTTTATCTTATTTTACCTTACTTTTTCTCATCTTATCTTGTCTTACCTTACCTTATCTTATTTTACCTTACCCCTTACCTTGTCTTATCTTACTTTATCTTACCTTATCTCATCCTATCTATCTTACCTAATCTTATCTTACATTATCTTACTTTATCTTGTCTTACCTTATCATACTTTACCATACCTTATATTATATTATATTGTCTTACCTTATCCTATATTGTCTTATCTTATCTTGTCTTATCCTATATTATCTTATCTTACCTTGCCTTATTTTATCTTTCAGTGGAGGTGAAGAACGAGGCAGCCATCCCCGTCTACCTGACCAAGGGGGAGCGGAAGAAGCTGCGACGCCAGAACCGCCGAGAGGCCGAGAAGGAGCTACAGGAGAAAATTCGACTGGGTTTGGCCCCGCCCATGGAGCCGAAAGGTACAAAAATATCGGCCACCCGTCTCAAAACTGTCTTCTTTTGGTGCTGCTCGACAGTTTCATCGTTTTTCTTCTTTTCTCTATCGTCTCCTATGGAACCTTAAAGTACGCAAAATGGCCACTCATCTCAAGACTATTGTCTTTTTATTTTTTGCATGATAATTTCGACATTTTGCGGACGGTCGGTCGGTGGGCGCTTTGGTGTGGTTTGCTCCTTCTTTCCTATCCCAACTTCTGTAGCCCTTATGTCTCCTCTCCCTTTTTTTGTTTGTTACTCTCTTGTAACACCTCTTATCTTCGGCAATTATATGACCTAATTGTGTTGCAAATGCTGTGAAACTCTTGAACAAAAAGTTTCATAGTTTTTCTCCTTTTTCTCTAATCATCCATGGAACCGAAAGGTGCCAAAATATTGGCCCCTCACCTCAAAGCTGTTGTCTGATGATGTTCCTGGACAGTTTCACACCTTTTGGTACTTTCCTCCAATCTTCTATGGAACTTTTTGGTACTTTCCTCCAATCTTCCATGGAACTTTTTGGTACTTTCCTCCAATCTTCCATGGAACTTTTTGGTACTTTCCTCCAATCTTCCATAGAACCTTTTGACTTTCCTCCAATCTTCCGTGGAACTTTTTGGTACTTTCCTCCAATCTTCCATGGAACCTTTTGACTTTCCTCCAATCTTCCATGGATCCTTTTGACTTTCCTCCAATCTTCCATGGAACCTTTTGACTTTCCTCCAATCTTCCATTGAACCTTTTGGTACTTTCCTCCAATCTTCCATTGAACTTTTGGTACTTTCCTCCAATCTTCCATTGAACTTTTGGTACTTTCCTCCAATCTTCCATGGAACCTTTTGGTACTTTCCTCCAATCTTCCATAGAACCTTTTGGTACTTTCTTCCAATCTTCCATGGAACCTAAAGATACACAAAGTGGCCACCCATCTCCAAACTATTGTCCTATGATGTTGCTCAACAGTTTCGTCATTTCTATCCTCTCTAACATCAGAGCTACCTTTCTCCCTCCGAGACCTAACATTGATAACACACTCTACGGAACATTACAGCAACTGCAGCAAACCTGCACTTATCACTACATGGCATTGGACAGAAGGGCGAGAGCCCAGCTGTTGCTGGATCGATAACAACAACAACGACAACAACAACAACTATCCTCTCTAATCTCCTCAAACTCGTCTTTTCACTAACCTTGTTATTTCTTCAGTTTCATCTTTTCTCGTACCTCATCTTACTTTCGCTAATTTCAACCTTTCTCCAATTTCATGTGTTCTCTCATCTCATTTTTTCTCTCTCTAATTTCATCTTTTTCTCATCTCCTCATTCCCTTTTTATCTCATCTTTTGTTCACTTATTTCACCTTTTCTTCAATGAGTGGTTGGCGGGTGCTCTTGTGTGATGTGCTCCTTCTTTCCTATCAAACACCTATGGTCCTGATCTCTTTTCCTTCTTTTTTGTGTTTGATACTCTCTTGTAACACCTCTAATCTTCGGTAAGTTTTATGACCTTATTGTTTTGCAAGTGCTGTAAAACTCTTCCTATAACTTAACGTTTTATCTCCAAATCTCATGTATTGTCACTTCTCATCTTTACCGTAATGTCATCTTGACACTGGAAAGTTGGAGGGTGCCACTGGTAGGTTCTACTTCTTTACTTTTCCCTCTGTTGTTTCTGTCTATCCCACTTTTTCCCAGCACTAAATTACCATTATCGTATCGATGTGCTTCTCTTTACTCAAACAAACAATCATCAACTTCAATCTCATCCTTCAAAATGGGTGGTTGGCGGGTGCTCTGGTGTAGTTTGTTTCTTCGTTCCAATGAAACATTTATCGTCCTTATCTCCCCTCCTCCTTTTTTGTGTTTGTTACTCTCTTGTAACACCTCTAATCTTCTGGCGCTCATATGACCTGATGCAGTTGCAAGCGTCGTAAAACCTCTACTGAAACTAAGACCAAACATCCTCCAAACTCATTGTTCTCTTTCTTCTCCCCTCCCCTACACCCACAAATCC